CCCCCTCCAGATCTTGGCCAGTTGTAAGACATTTCACGGTGGAGTGCTTTCAAGGCCGCACATCTCCGTGGCAGGAATCACATGCTCATGCTACTACAGCTCTGCTCAGGAAATTGATTTGTTTCAGGGATAAGACCAAGTATGATGAGGCTGTTCTAGGAAAAATTTGATTCTTAAAAAAATAATCATAATAAAATAGTAATAATAAATCCTTGGAACGCCACAGCTTTCAAAGTGAAGTTTTTATTAGCCTTATTTGACCCAGTAGTTTTTTTTTTTTTTTTGTTAATTTTTTGAAACCTATAATGTCTCTCATTTCAGTGTCGTTCAGCTCTGTTTTTCATAAATTTGTCTCCGCTAGACCAAAGTACATCTTTGTACAACATATTCTGCCCAGAGTAGAAACATCCCGCACAATGGCGCCGAACTGTCATTTTGCGGTACGGTATTTCCAAGCACGGTGCCTCAATGACGGAATGAACGCTGTGAGCCTCCCACAAGTGGCGCATTACTCAACAAATAGTTCACTGGTTTTCAATCCTGTTGCTTTATTGACTATCGTGCAACAATCAACTTTCATATCGCAGTAAAGCTGCTGGTCGATCTTGTGGTGAATGTTCTTCTCAAGCCTGGGATGCGTTTTATTCACTTTTAGTTCTATTTACATTAAATTGTGACATATCTCAGAGCTCATTTGTGCAATCACTCATTCAGTCATTTTCAGTACAGTCGACCCCCTCGCGTACGAACGCTCCGGTACTCGCTAATTACAATATTTGCGGAGGTTTAATTTTTTTTTCAATATTTAAAAACAATTATTTAGGGTGTGTCTTTGATTTTGACATGATTCCATATTGAATGAAGAATTTTGGTGGCTTTTTTTTTTTCCCTCAAGCAACGCATTTCACGAAAATATATGTGGATTTTTTTTGTTATTCGATCCCTATGATGCCTCAAATGCTTTTTGGCACCTGTCCATGAGGCAAAAGAACCATTGCAGGATTTGCTTTCTTAATCTGAAGGGTACCAACAGCTTTATACTTCTTATTGGAGCAATGCAAAGCAAGACATGTTGCAACGTAAGGGTAACGATATGGTTTTCATGAGCTCCAATCTTTTGCAGGACTCTGCTTTGCAACTCTGTTTTCGCAGTGAGCGAGGGGGCTTGACCGAGTTCTCAAGAGTACATAATTCTGAGGCAAGTCCCCTCGCTTCATCCCACCGTCTTACGGTTTGTTTTGGTGTGTAAATGAGCGTAGGTTATGTGCATCTTGTCTGCGGCCTGCACGGCGCCTCCTTGCCAATCGATTCAAGGTGAGAGCTGTCGATTAAACACCCTGAGCCGCGCTCTAAACTTAACCCCAGGGTGAGCCCAACCAACCCTTTGCGCGCACACACCCACACCGACCTGTCATTCATCAATACCTCCACCACAGCCCCTATTGATCCCCCCCCCC